TTTCCAACCCTGCTTAGAGGTATAAAAAATAGATAACAACCTGGGAATAGGTTGTGACCAAACCAAACCAAACCAGACCTACTGAATATACATATAAAATTTTATCAAAATCGGTCAAGCCGTTTCGGGGATGGTAACAAAAAATTAAAAAACAACCCCTATTAAAAAATACGGGATGATGGTAGAACGGTGAAAATTTTGGGTTCTTTGTATTTTTTAATGCTAATTAATATTAATTTTTAATAATATAAAAAAATGGAAATGGACTACCCTTATCACTTAAGGGTATAAAAAATAGATAACAAACTATTTTCAGACCTACTCAATACACATAATAAAATTTCATCAAAATCGGCCAAGCCGTTTCGGAGATGGTAACAGAAAAACAACCCCTATTAAAAAATAGGGGATGATGGTAGAACGGTGAAAATTTAGAGTTGTTTGTATTTTTTAAGGCCAAATAAAAAAAACATATTTTTTTTCAAAAATAAAAAAATGAGGGTGGGCTACCCTCTCGGCTACCCTTATCACTTAAGGGTATAAGAATAGATAACAGTCTATTCTTAGACGTACTGAATATACATATAAAATTTTATCAAAATCGGTTAAGCCGTTTCGGAGATGGTAACAAAAAACTTAAAAAAACAACCCCTATTAAAAAATAGTGGATGATGGTAGAACGGTGAAAATTTAGGGTTGTTTGTATTTTTTAATGCCAAATAAAAAAAATTAAAATATTTTTATTTTCAAAAAATAAAAAAAATGGGGGTGGGGTACCCTTATCACTTAAGGGTATAAAAAATAGATAACAAACTATTTTCATCGACAGATCAGATTTTGATGCGAGACGACACTTCTAGAGTATTAAGATATTGTTTGCTTGTACCCTTGTTTATATATTCTTAAAGTTGTTCAACCTCTCGACAAAATGTGCTGCCTCTGGTGAACAAATCGTGAAGCTTTAAAGGAATGAAACATGTGATTAGGGGCGGAGTCAAAAATATCGATCATTTGCGGTATTTCCCTCAGAGTAATGTAATAATATAGCTCGGATTTTTGCGAACTATAATAGGGCTCAGCTGATTAAGAAATTTAAACAAAACTATTATTTCATTGTTGATTTTCGATTATTTTTGCTGTTATTTTAAGGATTCTAAACCGTATTTAACAAAGAAATAATAATTTTCCATATGTTGGTACATTAAATTACTGGTAATTATTAATATTTAAAAAAAGTTACATACACTTACTTTATTTCGATTTGACCCAGGGCTATAAAATTTGATTTCATTCTTAGATCATTTTATTCTAAATTGAGGTTTTTCGAATTTACGATATTTTTTTTTGAAAACAAAACGTTTATACATTCTTGATTAATTTTTTTCTTAATTAAAAATAAAGCTTGGCACTTGCTTCAATAATATTATTTGACATTTAAATAAACATTATGTACTTAATACACCATTTAAATCTTTATTACACGAAATAAATCTTTCTTAGCGTAAAACATGATCAGAGTCAAGTTTGCTTTAACTTTCTACCATATGAAAAAAAACGGCGTCCAATTGGCTTGGAAATGACGATCGACGACATTTCCCATATAAATTTACATATAAAATGACAGCGATCTTCATTTCATAGCCATCGCTGACGCCGTTTATTTTCGATCAAGAATTATAAAACTGAAAATATCATTATGTTTTAACTCACAAAGCCCGTTAAACCATAAAACTCTCTAGTATATTGTTTTATTAGGAGTAAAAATGACACTTTTCGTGGCGAGACTGTATGTTTGACCTACAGCCGAAGCACAAAAGTCATTTTTACTCCTAATAGAGCATGCTATTTTTTTCAAACGCCACAAATAATTTGTTAAACAATTTCAAACGTTCCAAATAATATAAAAATATTTAAAACTCATACCGTATAAGTAATTATCATGATACAAAGAAAACAAGGTATGATATTGCGCAGGTTGGTCACCACGTCACAGGTGATAAACGGCACTATTGGTCGGCAAGCTCCACGCGCCAATTTCGCGCCAAACAGATGACACATAATAAATGTGTATAATGTGTCATAACTCTTCAAATGTCAAGCTTGATGATTTTATATAACTTTAGGGGTTATTTAATTCTTCCTTATTTTAGGTCTTTTTATATTAGTGGCAATTGAACAATATGGATATTTTGTTGTATGGCATATGACGTCACAGGCGATATGCGCAAACTGAACGAAATTGGAGACGCTATCGACCATACCTTGTTTTCAAGTTTTCTTTGTACCATGAGTAATTATATATCGAGAAACTATGGTTACGGCTCGTTGAATTTGAGACTTATGTCATCATAATATGTCATTTTAATAATATATTTTCATACTGTTATGCTTAGGCGTAAAAGTGCTTTACTTTTATGCCTAGGCGTTAAAATGACTTTTTTATATTGTCAATCACGTCGCTAAAATTAATACTTTTGTGACGTTTGAAAAAAAATAATATTTTGAAACTAACTGGTATATTTTTCTGCCACAACAAAGTTATTATACAGTGATAAATGATAAGGTCATATTGAAATACGCTACTGGGTAAAAAAAATTGGCTAAATTTTATCAATAATACTCCATTTCAAAAGTTATTTTCCAAAATAATTAATATTTTTTAATAATTGATTGCAATTAATATTATTTGACTAGTTTAATTTGATTAATTAATAGGACTAGATTAATTTCATTTAAAATAAATTTGATCCGATTTTTTTTCGTATATTCAACTACCAGAAAAGTAGAAGGAAGATTATACTGCATCTATCACAATATTTAAAAGAACTACTACAATAATTATTAGAAGAAAAACAAAAAGAAAAAAATACCCAAATACCTTCATCACCTTCTACTCAACTACAAAATAAATGAATATAATCTCTTACAAGAACACTACACAAACTACTTCTTGTATTCTACACTAAACAAATTATCAAACTTATTAATTAATCAAACATAAAGAAAAAATAACCAAATTACCCCTTCACCTACTACTTAACTTCAAAATAAAATATAAAAACACTACTAAATTACTTTTGGTAGTCTAACACCACTGCACATTGTCATTGGTAGATATGCCAATGCGACAATGATTAGAATGGTCACTAACGGAATTAGTACTGGGAGAATTGTCAGATCAGGGGCTTGGAACACCCTCAAAAAGGAAATACCACTTCTGCAACTCCCAATGGACGATATGCCAAGAACGTACAACTTTGACAAACATGTCAATGTAGTATTGAGCAATAAGAAGGATTGGAAGAGCGAAACGCTTGCCCAGCAGTTAAAAGACCATACCATAACTTGGTATACTGATGCTTCCAAAACCAATACGGGAACAGGGATCGGAGTGTTTGCGCCGAGAGCTAATTACTCCGAACCAATGGGCACTTACCCTAGTATCCTACAGGCAGAAATCTACGCTATCGAGAGATGCGTACAACTTATCTTAGATAGGAACTATCGGAAACAAGAAATAGCCATCTTATCTGATAGTCAAGCAGCGTTAAAGGCGATCAACTCAGTATCAATCGATTTGAAATTGGTCAAAGAATGCATAGAGAAGCTGAATAAATTAGGCAAAGAAAACAAAGTCCTCCTACACTGGGTGCCTGCTCACCAAGGGATAGAAGGCAATGAAAAAGCAAATAATCTAGCTAGGAAAGGAGCGAACACTCCACTAACTGGACCAGAACCGTTCTGCTTTCCAGTGGTAACCAACTCAAGGCGGAACTCAAGAACTTGGAAGATTCCATCCGCAACTTGGAATGGAAATCTTGCAATGGTCTAGGACACTCGAAGAAGTTTCTGAGGGCTTATGATCAAGAAAAATCACAGATCTTCCTGGGTCTGAGTAAGAACAATCTTCGGATTGTCACGGGGTTTTAACAGGACACTGTCTCCTCAATGAACACCTCAGTAGATTGAAACTAAGAAGAAACGGCGAATGCAGATTCTGTGGGGAAGATGGTGAAACACCAGTACACCTCATCACTGAGTGCGCCGAGACGACAACCATTCGTGCCATGAATTTTGGTACGACTGATATTGGAGATGGAGAACTACCCTCTATAAAACCGTCCCAGATACTGGCTTTTGTCAAAGCCCTGGGACTGTATGATGAGTTATGATTCAAGAAAGGGGGACACAATGGATCTGTAAGGTCGAAGTGATTAACCCCCCTCCCACTCATTCTAAAAAAAATTTGGTAGTCTACACTAAATATTATAATCAAACTTAATAAATTAATCTAATTTTACATTACAACTACAAAGAAACAAGAAAATGTTTTAAAACTACAAGAAATAAAACTTCGATACGTGCAACCAGTATAATAGATCAAGCGGACAAAGACTATAAAATACTTTAAAATGTGCATTGAGAAAGAAAAAATATCTCGAAAATTATCTAAACAAACATTTTTTTTCTTATCAGTGAAAAACATCGACCTCGTCGGCCTTGCGGAATTTGTCGGGTATTTACAATGGTCGAATTGTATAATTACCAGCTTTTATAGCATATCTAATAGACAAAAAGTATCTGGTCGATTAGTAACCAATTGGCACAGTCCGAAAATTATCGATTTTTATTTTCTCTGTTTTTATTGGCCGCTTCAAAATTCAGAGTAACAAAAAATATTTTTCTCTAGTAAAAGACTGTGAAATACACCCCGCCATCTGGTGCTTTACATCCATAAACGTCTTAGGTTGAGCTACTTTAAAAATTCATATACAAGGCTTGTACTTATTATACTTGTATATATTTTTTATAATTTTTATCGACACTGCCCCCGTGGCAAATCTGACTTGCTCAGCCTATAGATTTACAGCGGAGAATTTTGCTCAGCGGCTGTTCGTCAGAATTAGAGAAGTCGCTTACTCAGCCACTCAGCCGTTGACCGTCCCTGAACGCGCTCACTTTCATTTGGAATATAATAGGACAATTGTTAATATATTTACCTGAAAACCACCAGGGCCTCTTGGGGGACCGCCCCTCTTATCGAAATCCCCGTCATTGTAACCTCCTCCTCCTCCATGGGGCGGTCTATCTCCTCCTCGAAATCCACTACTTCGGCCCCTGTTCCCGCCGCCACGACCCCCTCTATCGAAACCAGAGCGATCATTACGTTTTCCTAAAAATATTAATTAAGTTTGGATAATGTATTCCCATACTAAGTAACATTAGTCAGCTGTAACTTGAGAACTGTTATAGAAGTTAAGGACAAAATATTTATAGGTAAGAGCTCGAACTCACTGACGACCAGGTCGCAACGACCTGGCCGTCCGTCGGCTGGCCGGATACATTGCGTACATAGGTGCGGCCAGATGAACGACCAGTTTCGACAGGGCTGTCAGATGTCAGATCTAACGATTTTTTACGTTTTACCAATTAGCAAATATTGTTTTCAGAAATGTTAAAATATCCGAGTTAACTAAAAAGCGAAGTTCCTATTCATGAGCTTATTAAATGTTCTAATATTAAATAAAGTAATGTTTCTTCAAAGCCATACCGAGCGAAAATCACAAAAGAACTACGATATGGGGAGACAAAACCAAATAGAATATTTTTGAAGCAATTTGGTTCGTCTGGCCCTTACAGAGTGTTTGGTTTGGATCAGATATAAAAATAATAAATAGACACATATCAATAAAGGACAAAAATAGTATTGTTCCTAAGAATTGAAAACAAATGACTTATTTATATACATAGATAAAAAACATAAATATTTAATATTTTAACTCTATTTCTTGGTATTTGTGTTAGTACAGGTTATTGAATTAGTCCTATATAATATAGTCTAATGAGCCCTGTTTGAAAAACATTAAATTAAATATAATATTTAAAATACAGGTGTGCATGACTACAATACAACTAAAAAAAAACTAATTTTATCAAAAAATAACAAGTGGTTGTAGAAAAACTTTAAATATGATTTTTTTATTTTTTAACATAGAAACTCGAAGGTATAATAACAGGTATCATACCAACCATAAATAGAGTATGTCATATAAAAATGTTTTGAATTTTTATTAGAGTCGACCCTTGATAAAAAAAGGCACTAGATTTAAGTTTCCCTTTGATCCAGTCTGTATACTATTTCTTTGGATTTTCGGCACGTGTGCAAAAACTACACTAAAATACTATATCTTATAGAAAATAAAATATTTTGCGTTGAATTTGAGGTATCTCATCTGAAAAATAATTAATTTGGAAGAAAACCGACAACAAGTGGCAGAAAATAATAATATTTTGCAGTCTATTGGTCGCAACGACCAGCCAACGGTCAGGTCGTTAGTGTGCGTTGTATCATTTGATTTAATCGTTTTAGAGGTAGCAGCGCCTGGCCGGTGCGACTTGGCCGTCGGTGTGTTCGAGCTCTAAACTGATCAGCAAAAATCGGTATATAATAGCAATTACTATAATAAAGTAGATATTAACTCTTTTTGGATAACTAAATTTTTGTACTACAAAATATAATTAAACGTTTAATTTTAATAAATCAAGAGTAAAACATTTATACATTTTATGTTTTGGATGTCTCATACATATTATTATCTTATTTTTAGATTTTATCATAACTATACAGGGTGAGTCTTAAATAAGTGCAAATATTTTCAGGGCTGGTAGATCTCGATAAAAAAAACATACTTTCTCTTTACCGTTTTTCAAATAGGTCTAAAATAACCGAGTTATTTTACTTTGAAAATTTCCAAATAAAATAAATTTATGCTTAAATTTTGAGAACCACTGAATCTTTTCTGTTTTTTTTTCCTTGTATGATTTTACATAATCCATGGGTATAGTGATAAATGAGGTCTAAACTATAAGAAAATGCACTTTCTATGAAAACTTGAAGAGATGGGTAAAAAATGGAACAATACAATTTGATAGACAATTACATTATGTATCTGATTCACGTAAAATATATAAGGTGTTCCATTTAAAATAAACAAGTTATTGCCGTTTAAAGCTAGTAATTATTTAATAAAAAATTTTGGACACTCTGTATTAGGTCGTAAAATTTTTATTATTGCAACACAATATATGACCAATAAATAATCTTCAGTAAATATTTAGTATTAAAAACTTTTATACCCTTGGAGAAATAAAGCCTTAAATTTTTTTCTGCTATTTCAAAAACGGTAAGGTTTAAGTGTGATAAACCTTAATCAAATTTACCTTTATTTCAATTGTAGAATCCAAAAATAGAATAATATACAGGCTGTTCTATTTAAAAAAATACAACTATAATATTTTTACTTATTTGGGACACTCTGTATCTTGTAAAAATATTTTTAAATTGTAGCATTAATAGTCCTTCAACGAACTTTTATACTTGGTTAACTAAAAGATCTTTCAAATAATGCAGTTTTCTTAACTAGATGTTGTTATAAAATAAACTTTATACTTAACTTATATGAATTTGCTTGCACTTTATATATTTAAGTAAATATATATTTAAATATGTTATAAGTTTTAATATATACGAGCCCTAACATTTTATGTTATATGTATGAAATAGTTACCTTCAGCAACATCAATTTTGATAATATTTCCCTCGACTTCTACCGCACCATTCAACGCTATAGCATCCTCCAAATCCTTCAGTGTATCGAATTCAACGTAACAAAATCCTTTAAATCTGTCTGTTTCCTTATCCATAACCAGGCGTACATTTTTGACTTTTAATTTATCAAATATTTTATTGACATCGCCTTGTACGACTCCTACTGGTAAATTTCCAACGTAGGCAATAAACGGGGGTTCCGTTGGTAGGGGTTTTCGACCACCCCGGCGTCCTCCGCCGCCGTAATTGCTAGAAAAAAATATCGTAAGTCAAAAGCATGTGCACCCCAGTAGTTTATCCAAACAAAATTAATTTGATAATTCTGATTAAAAGTTATATATTTCTATCGGCTTAATAATAAATTATAAAGCATCTAATGCTGGCATTAACGAACACTTATTAATTAATTTTCTGTAAAAGAAAATTAATATTACCTGTTGTCACGATCATCATAACCGCTTCGACCGGCCATGTTTTAGACTAATCTTACGTCTGCGCAAATTGGTATCAAGCAACGCGGAAAATACTTCCAACAAATCATTTCAAATTTCTCAAAATTCTACGTTAAATTTTCATTTTTTTTTCTGCTCTATTATAACTGAAAGTTTTTATAAGATTAAACTTCAACCAGAGACTTCAATAAGTGTCAAACACCGATACCTAATTAAATTTTCATATTAACTAAATAAATATTATATAAAAATAAACGTCAAATTGAAAGATATATTAAAAAACATCAGAAAAACACTAAATACTTTATTATTGGATGATAAAATTTCCTTAAAAGTAATGGGAAAAATGTGCTATTACGAAAAATGTCATGTTAATTTCAAGTTAATTTCAAACTTTTTTTTATAATAAACAGATATTTTCGTTTTAAATATTCAAAATTACATAAATGTAAACTTTAGTGACAATTTTAGAAGAATCAACTGCAATTATAAATTTGATTTATTCCTTTATTTATTCAGATTTATTGAATTAAACGAAATATTTTATTATTCTTCCATATGCTTCCATAGCTCTGGATTAATTCCAATCATAGATAAATGAAGCACGTTTAGATTGGAAAGTGCCCATAAGGACAATGTAAACACTATTTGGCGCTATTCTTGCAACGGTCGCGACCCAAAGCTTTTGAAAATTTCGGAGCGGTTCGGCTTTTTCCGGAATTATATCGCCAAATATTGTTTATTCAAATTTATTATTATTTTCGTTTAATTTTATAAATAAAATACAGTGTGTTGCATACAAGAAACTTTATTTTATATAAGGACGCATGTATGAAATACCTATGAAACATTGGAAACCGACGTTATGCCACGATCCACGATGGTTTTTGCAGTTTACAGTTCTCAGCACAGCTTTTTAAGTTTTTAATGCCACTTTTTCACAATTATTACCGGTTGGAGTAAATAAAACTTGAATTAAACTCACAAGATAGCAATAATTACTTTGAAAATGGACGCTATAAACACTTTTCGGAATTTCTTTAATGAGAGCGGTTTAGATTTTGAAAGATTATTATGATTTTTGAAGATTCTGACTTTGACAAGAGAAAATTATTTCTGTTTGTGTTCGCCGTTGTTCTTAGCGACCGCTATGGCAGCGCCAGATCGCGTATAACGGTCGCGACCCAAAATAATTTCGCGACCTAAAATTTTTACGGGCTTTCCAATCTAAACTTGTTGCATTTATCTATGATTCCAATAATCAAAATCTTCAGTAATCAAAATGAGCATAGATTAAAAATCTTGTGGCAATGATAAAGGGTAAAGTCCCGTTCTCAGAACTGCGTCGTGTCGCTGGCTACACAGTTTGACATTTCAAACAACCAATGGGAGCTGTACTAAATTTAAAATTGACGGGGCTTTAAGCGCTTTTTCTGAGAACGGGGCTTTAAGCCGTTCTCAGAACATTGGCGAACAACCAATGAGAGCTGTACTAAATTTAAAATTGACAGCTGTTTAAATTTTGTACAAATCTCATTGGTCCTTTTGACGTGTCGTCCGCGACACGACGTCGTTCTGAGAACGGGGCTTTCATTAAAGCCCCGTTCTCAGAACTGCGTCGTTTCGACAGCGACACTGATTGACACTTCAAACGACCAATGGGAGCTGTACTAAATTTAAAATTGACAGCTGTTTGAATTTTGTACAAATCTCATTGGTCCTCTTGACGTGTCGCTGGCGACAGTCGCTGTTCTGAGAACGGGGCTTAAAGCCCCGTTCTCAGAACTGCGTCGTGTCGACAGCGACACTGATTGACACTTCAAACGACCAATGGGAGCTGTACTAAATTTAAAATTGACAGCTGTTTGAATTTTGTACAAATCTCATTGGTCCTCTTGACGTGTCGCTGGCGACAGTCGCAGTTCTGAGAACGGGGATTTTATATATTAGTATACTCGTAGATTGTGATCAATAAAATTGCGATTATCTCATTAAGGAGGCCGAATTCGACAAAATATCAAGATATAACTTTAAAGCCCCGTTCTCAGAACTGCGACTGTCGCCAGCGACACGACAAAAGAACCAATCGGATTTGTACAAAATTCAAACAGCTGTCAATTTTAAATTTAGTACAGCTCCCATTGGTCGTTTGAAGCAGGTGGATGACACTTCTTATGGGAGAACTGGAAATGGTTGAAAACTTGACTACAAGCGATTTTCTAGGAATCTTCTTTACCGATAAATTATTGACAAGAGTGACAGATAAAACCTTGACATTCTTTCAGTATAACTGTTCAGCTCTTTTTCTTTCTAAAGTGTGCGTTGAAAGGAGACAAAAACAATTTTTGCAACCCATAAATTGTTATTCGAACACCACTTTTCTCCTTGTCGGGTCGTTGACGTTGACTTGTCGCCATTTTATTTCTTTTGTTTACACGCTGCAGTTTGCTTTGTAAATTGAATACATAAATTATTTAGGCAAATATAGGTTTTTGATAAAACTCCTTGGACTAACGTGTAGGTAAGTGTTGATAAATAAGTTTTTTTTCATCTTAACATGCTCATTGTCATTCTCCTGATTTAGGTGACAGAAAAGGATCATCAAATGAAATTGAATTTTATATTTTTTCATCCCAGGACCGATAATAAAATATATATTTTATGGATACCTTCCTAAATATCAACGAGATGAGCCATCGGAAGAAAGGGACCATAGTACAAAACAGAAAGGTGATCTTTTTTCTTTCCACTTAGGATATTGAAATTATTATATACTGTAGTCGTGTTTGGCATTATGCTCTTAGAAATATAGGTAAACAAAGAAGAACAGATATAAAGCATCCCAGAGGAAAAGAGAGGCAATACCTGTACTCTCTCTCTGATATTTGTGAAAGTTACGGCAAAGTATTGTTGTAAATGTCATCTTTTTAATCGACCTGAAAACTTCGAGCAAAAAGATGACACTTTCAACAAAACCCTGACAGATATCAGAGACGATACAGGTTTTTCCTCTCTTTTTCCCTGGAATACTTTTAATTTATTATTCTTTGTTTATCTAGATTTCTCAGAGCACTATGAACGAACTCAGCTTGTATGTTTGAAATAATCGTCCAGTTGGCTTCAAAATGATGATCGATGACATTTCCTATATAATTTTACTTTCAAAATTATGATATATATCGTCATTTCTAAGCCATCTATGACGCCATTTTTTTCAGTTTTGTTATAATTAATTTTGTCTCTTGATCTACTTGTAACATTATTTTTTAATTTTATTAATTTATTGTGGTGAAATTAATTTCTGTTGTATATTTGATATTGATATTAAACATATTTTTAAAAAATGGTGTATTTTTTGTGTTTTTATCTATGTCATAATTAAAAATAAATGAAGAATTAAAATTTTTTATTTTTTTAAATTTCCCGCCATGCGTGAAAATCTAGTCCGTAGTTCCTACAAGCGATATTGGGGGCGCTAGTAGCAGTAGACTTGTCAACAGTGTCAAATTTAAACGTCAATTTCACTTTCCAATATTTAGCAAGGCGCTCGCACTTCTCCTTGTGTATGTGTTTTGTGGTTTGAAGTGTCAATCAGTGTCGCTGTCGACACGACGCAGTTCTGAGAACGGGACTTTAAGCGAATGGGACCACGGGGGTGTCACTCAGGGGGGTGACAGTAAACCGGAAAATTGGAAACAGTTGTGGCGCGGTTCTACCCAGGCAGAAAGCATGGCCTTCTAGACTGTCCTAGACAAAAATCTGAATATTTCTATATGATTTCTGTCAATTTCTGCTACGGAACATTTTTATGCACGTCGGCGTCCTGTTCTTTTGTCTTTTGTCTGTGTGTCAGCGTCAGCTCCCGAGGCCTTTGGCAAGGTCGGGCGCCATTTTAATTTTTGCCGTTTAGATTTGATTGGAAGTTTGTTTCTGATATTTCGACTGAAATTTATAAGTACAAAGATGTTTTTTGATATAAAGTTCCTTACTTGTTCCTTAATAAAGTATATATGATATTAATTACATGAAGAAAATGATGAAATCGACGTTTCTGCGTGTAGTAGGTATGGGCCATATTATATGTAAAAATAGGTAATATATTAACTGTTTTTATATTTTTTTAGCCCAAGAAAGAAGGTCTTTAAACCCAAGGATCTTGGGATATTCTTTGCAAAGGATTTTTCCGTATCTCTACTTTAAAGACTGATCGGTGATTTTGAGAAATTGAAAGCAAGTTATACAAGGTAAATTATGATTATTGAACTATTATTAGCCTACATTAATTTTCTACAAGATGAACAGAAATGCGTAATTACATATCACATAGGTACCTATTATGTATTTTCATAGCAATAATGCTATAAATCTATGTATGTAGATTATTTTTAAATACAAATGAGGTATTAGATGTATATGTATTATATTTTTTATTCATTTTATTTACATTCAAGTCCTGTTTGATTTAATTCACAAAAGTCTTATGTACCTATATTTATATTTTTTACATATTTTTTTTGATTCCAGGTTTTGTGTGGGTTCCGGTTGCCTTTTTCCTGCTTCCAGTTATTTAGTTTTATGTCCGTGAAGCTGTGAAAACATTTATTTATCTTCAAGTTTCTGTAAGTCAATGCACTGTTACTTTACTAATTCGCTTTAACACAGCATCTCTGATATTATTTAAATATTTGATATTGATACAGTAGTTTATTGGATTATAGCTCTTTAATTGTGTTGATTTGCATATTTACATTGTTCTAAATTCCAAATAAATATTTTTGAGTAATTTTGTTGTATTATTTACTACTAGAAAGAGTAAAAAGTATATTAACCCTCATTTAAACCTCCTGAACAGCCCGCCATTAAAAACCGGAAACGGAAATAAATTTCATAAAATTGAAATTGTCATGTCTATGTCATGTCAAATGTCCCAGCCGCCATATCTGAAAATTAGTTACCCAGGCAGCCACGCTGTTTCCATAATTTAACATTGACTTGACACTTCTTCTTGTATTTATTATTTTATGGTGTCACTTGTATGGGAAAACAGGCATCAGTCAAATTTAAACATGCCAGGACCAACGACAAAGAAAGCAACATCTGCCAGGCATTGGCTTTCTTTGTCACTCACATTGCTTAAATCATGATACCGCGGCCATTTTGTCAACAAAGAAGCTGGCCGGGCTGTCCTGGCAAGTGATATAAA